GCCAAGCCTTTGTTCTTTTAGCATTTATATAGTCGTGCCATCCAAGAAAGGTTCCATGCATCCTTTTGTGAGAAAAATGGAGCAGTTCCCATGGAAATCTCATATTAATGTATAGTACATCTAAAATCTGAAGCTGGAACTTTTTATGCAACAGTAGCTACAGAAGACTTTAGATACATCACAATGAAACTGAACAAAGTTGTGCTTTGTCCATCTGAATCAGGAGGAGATTAACTCAACCACGTTTGGCACATAGTTATTCACTAGTAATCCAGCTGACAGATAGCAACCTTTCCAGTCAGTGAAGCAAATTTTTATGTTGTGGAGATGTCTATTTACTTGCATTGAAAAAAGTAGCAGAAGAGATCTATTGTGTGCTATGCATCATGGACGGTGATACGGCATTTGTCCAAAAATAAGGAGTCCTCATGATTAGTTACTTAAATGACTTTGTGACATTTAGGTGGTAAGTTCATTTGGTTCACATGCTAAAATATGACACATCAATGTAGAAGTATGAAACCTTAGCTTATTTGGTGATATTTTTGCTCATTTGCAATTCCACATAAATAGATTGTCCTTAAACACATACCTGTTTTTATCTGCCTTCATGCTGTCTCAATTCATCTACGTAAGACATTTCATGGATTGCAGGAAAGAACGCCTCTGTGGCTTCGGATGTATGGCCTTGCAGCCTCACTTTGATTGGTGCAGCAAAAGAAGGAAGATGGCACAAAGGATTCTACAGTGCGATCAGAGCACTGTGATTTGTGTTGAAAATGAATGGCATGAGTTGTTTGTTGTGTCTGTAATCAATTTGTTGTACAAATGAATTTTTCATGACTTGTAAATTGACTGGATTGGTTACCGGTGCCTTTTTTTTTAATTCAAATGCCTGAAACACTATCATGTTGACGTCCTTTTAACAGAAATGTTATACAACACACGTGTGTTTTAGCATAAAAAAACACATAAATTCTCTCTCCCCCTCTCTCTCCAACTGTGAGCAGCCATGGTCCGTGCACCCGAGCCTGGGCACGAGCTTGGACTCGTCGACGATGACGACGAACCTCTCGCCGGCGCCCTCGACCATCTTCTCCCGAAGCAGCGACCCGCCGCGGCCCTTGATGAGGTTGAGGTCTGGGTCGACCTCGTCGGCGCCGTCAATGGAGAGGCGGATGCCGCCGGCGCCTGAGGCCGAGGCGGCGTCCTCGAGCGGGAGCAGCGGGGTCCCGACGCGGGCGGCCTGGGCCTCCGTCTTCAGGGAGGTGGCCACGCCGCCGGCGACCCCGGGGAGCGCGCCCGCGCGGATGAGGTCGCCCAGGCGGTCCAGCGCGTGCGCCGCCGTGGACCCCATGCCCAGGCCCAGCGATTTGTCCCCTTGTGCTTGCGTAAAAAAAAAAAAATTGTTTCTCGTCGTATGTGATCTCGTGATTTGCGATCGTTTAGAAATAAAAGAAGGTCGGAGGTAAAAGAAGGACGAAGGTTGTTGAATCTTAATTATTTGATATAAAAAAATTCATGTGTTGAAACTATATAAAAGACATGGTTACTGGCTACATACTTTTTTTAATTCAAACGCAGCACTGTAGCTGGTCGGCTGCTGGCCATTCGGCTGACTGATTCCAGCTGATTCGAGCACTGTAGCAGTAGTAGCAGCCCAGCCGACAGCAGCCAAATGTGGAGCAGCCGAACGGGTTGCTGATTACACAATGCGGTGGTAATATAAATTGGACCCACACAATAATGAAAATACTAAACTCCAACCAAGTGACCAACCCGTCAGTATCCATCCCACTTCTCCCGACTGGCCGCACGGCCTCCTTTCCCCAAGATTACTCAACTGAATCGAGGTTTCTTTGGCCAAATCACAGCCCAGCTGCAGGCGCCGTCTGCTGTCTTGGTAGATCATGCCTTATACAAAGGGAGAGATATCTACACTTTGATGCCAGTTTGACTTTGATCATCATAATATATTAAAAACTATTTCAAACCTGTCGATGATTTTTGAAAATGGGACCATGTTTGTACAAAAGTCTTACCTTGCAATCTCTTGTTAAATGCAACTTTTTTTTTCTCGATCGGGCATTGTACCCGTTTTTCGTTGAGAGGGAATAGAGTTTGTAAACGACACAGGAGCGCTGGGCAATGGTGGCGAGGGGCCATCATTCCCACACCGCTGCCTCCTATCTACTGGATCCTCTAATCAAGTATTACATGATAATCGAGTTTTGCGACCAAGAGGGGAATACAGCCTTGTTACATGATAATCAAGTATTACATGTTAATGCAGCCTTGTAGCAGCAGCAACGTTTATGTATTCTTATAGCAGCAGCAATAGTAACCAGTTTCATGTAAGTTGTAGTTTAATAATATGATATATATACGTTTTGCTTATAAGTGGCGATGCTCAAATTATTTCTACACACGGTGATTTATATTGCCAAATGAACTACAAAATTAGAAAGTTTCAAGTTGAAATTTACTTTAGTCACAGATAAAGCTAATTATTTACTTGTTTAGTATTCAGAAATAATTTGACGATGTGTAAATTAGAGAGCATATAATATGGCAAGTGGAATTAGCACATGAATGTCTATCCGAAGGCTATTATGGAAAATTGGAATCCAAGCAGAGTGAGTCAAAAGAACGACAGTTGGATGCATTTAGCTATGTCATCGAACATCTGGTATGCATGGACATGAACACGTAACCCAAAAAAAAAACATTTGAGTATGTAGAACATGTACCATTGAGCTTGACCGCACTACGACTCAAAGAGCTCAGCACGCATGCATCAAACAGTCAAGCTCAAACCGGTAAGCATCATATATGTGATATAAACATGGAAGACGGGGTGTCGGCACAGCCAAACAAGCAAGCATCTGCCGTTTACAGTTCATCTTGTGGGCATTCGGTCGAGCATCTCATGTACGACATCCATGCCGAGTTCAGTGTAGCTGCGTAGGAGTCAGTGGGTGGGTGCTGCCGGTGTAGCACTCTGCCTCAGGTCGCTGTAGGTGGTCAGAATATCGTGGCCACCATCCCCCTTTGACTTGGGTTGGGAGCCGCCGGTGCGGGGAGATGGAGACAGCGGGCCTGTTCGCTCGAAGAAATTTGGGAGGAATTTAAATGGTTTGGAAGAACGTTGAAGAAATTTATGAGAGAAAAATACTGTTTCGAATGAAAAAGAAGCGGATCCAGCCGGATTGGTGGACACGCGAACGGGGCCAGCGGCTTACCGGCCTTCGCAAGAGAGATGCTGCAGGGGTAGGATGTGGCTGTGGAGTATGTCCATGATGCGTTTAGGAATTAGGAGGCAGGCGAGTGCGTCCGGATCCGGAGAGATGCTGCAGAGGCGGAGAAAGCCGCGGGCGGCGGTGAGAGGTGGACGGAGGGGAGCGCGAGGAGGAACGGCGGCGGACCTCAGTGTGAGGGACGACAGGAGGAGAAGGGTCTCGATCTGAAGCCCAATCCAGTTTCTGGTCCGATGGCTGGGATTTTTTTTTTTTGCCTCTGATGGCTGGGAATTTGGAATGACGCGCCACGGCCTATGGCCTCGCCGTTTGCGCGGCGCCCGTACCATGGGCCAACAAACCGAGAGGGTTCGCGAACGTGGGCACGTGGCCGATGGAGCTACCAGAGACGTGGCCAAATGAGGTGCCAGCCTTCATGGTGCAAAATTCATCAAGTAAAAGATAGATAAAGCCGATTAAGTAAAAATCTAAGGGCTTATTTGCAAAAACGCGCTTGCGACATGGATCTGGGCTGCGCTAGGCCGGACTGTCCCCGAGATGGGCTGGCTTCGGCCGGTCGGCCAAGACGAGCCACTGTGCGGCCCATTCTTGAGCCTTTCTCTTTTTCTTAGTTTATCTTTTTTCCAATGAAGCTGCTACTTGTAAAATTAATAATAAATCACAGAAAAAATCATAAATTCCAAACCATCTTTTTAACTTCAATTGACTATATCTAAGCAGTAAACATTTATAATATCGCATGCTTTAGTTTTTTTTTGGCTGTAATTGTAAGTATACGCTTTCATGTGTTTGTTTTAATAGAGCATGTTTGTGCAGTCCAAATAGAGTGAAATTTTTATGATAGGCTATTCGTGGCATTTTTTAGCTATGGTAAAAAAATCCATGCTCAGTGAGTACAATATGAATGAGTTATGATTTAATTGTCTTTATGCTTATTTAATGCAGTTAAAAATAGTTATTCTTATGAACACATAATATGTCTACGGTGTTACATAAAATGTTGAGTTATTGATTTATTATCAAGGTGTCCATCCAACAATTATGAAGTTCACCCAATAGCTAGGTTTAGTTAAGATACACCACCCATAAAATTTTCATCTCCAAAATAAATATTTGGCGCACCACCTTTTTATTCCATATTTATATATAATAAAACTATTACGTATTTTATGTTTAAAACATGTTTTCTATGTTGTTTGTGCCACGTGTTAACTAAGCAAAGTGCCTGTAAATTTGATGTGTCTGTAAATTTGATATCTACGTAGTTCAACACTGATTCAGGATGTGTCTGTAAATTTGTTGGGCATCAATAGACAAACCAATCGCAGTTCTTTAAATGCGCGCGCGACACAGAGAGAGAGAGAGAGAGAGAGAGAGAGAGATATCTACATAGACATGGAATGTCGAGCTGTGCAATGTTGAATTTTCTTTCCCCGAATACTATTATGATGTTATGCACAGAAACTGAAGCTATAATAATAGTTTAATTACATTCAGTACATATATCTGTCAAAATACAATGAGGACAGTAACTCATTAGTTTCAAATATTACCATCGGATATGCTTTTTCCCTTGGATTTTACCATTTTAAATAAGCTCTAAGACCTATAATCATAGTACCACCCTCAAAATGTTTCTACCACTTCACCCTTTTGAAAGCGAAGGGATATTCAAGCCAGAACTGATACGAGGACCAAAAAAATTACAGAGGACAAGGTCACCAGGTTGCCACTTCATCTGTGTCACGTAGAAGAGGATTTCCATAAACCCTTGCGAAAATTGAGGGCAGAGCCAGAAGTAAAGGTCCATATAATAGAAGCAAGTATAACCAGTTGAGAGATGAACATCAGTCTGCCGCCTCTGGTAACCTGAATACTTGGGGTGCCTGGTTCTTCCCTTGTTGCTTGCTGTGACTTGAAGCTAGAGACGTGCTGAAGTGTTCTGTTGATAAAAGTGTTTTCTTCACCTGCAGTTTGCTGTGATCGGAAGCTAGAGATGCGCTGGAGTGTTCTGTTGATAACAGTGTTTTCAATTTCAGCAGCTAATGCTGGACTACTAGGTACAGAGTCCAACAAGGCTGACAGAGCCGCATTGAACCATGATTGTGGAGCTGTGGAGCTCTGGTTATGTAGCTCATTTGCTGCATGAATATTCAGAGTGCCTGCTAAGGGGTAATGGGCCACATCAGATATCGGAAGAAATTGAGTTTCGAGTGATCACACAAAAATGTTTAAAAATATATAAGAAATAATTAGGCACCTGATGCATGCGAGGATAAGACTACATGATCATGCTTCATATGGCTCCGTACATTAAGAGCAGCCTGATTATGTGTCCTTACTTCGGTTGTATATTGATATCCCTGGTTCTGAATTCCACTGTTACCAATATCAAAAAATTGATTTTCAGCTACCAATCCAACTGTGTCAGATGGCCCAGGTAGAAACGAAGGAGCATCAGAGTATTCCAAATTGTCAAACATCCCATTTGTTGCAGATACCAAGTACTCAGTTGTCATACAATTTGCATTCTGACCTAGATCCTCCAGATCAAAAAAATCATTCATTTCAAGGAACTCCTCATCAGCATCCTGGCTGTGGTAACTGATCAAACCTGATACAGAATGTGCCACACTGGTCCCTTCAGAAGAATTTGTTTCTCCGCTAAATGGCAAATTGGTTACATTAGACTGTGGAAATTGACTACTCGGCTCAGTCCGTGGTTCACAAAATGTGCTTTCCTGAACTATACAAGAAAGATTACCAACCGGAACACCATGAGATTCATGTAAATCCCCAATGCCAGCCTACACAAGTCAATAACATGTCTTATGAATAGGAATCATAGAGTAAAATACTGCATGCATATTACAAGATGTAGCTCCATCGTGCAAGGTAAGAAACATATTCTGACATATGCGCAAGACAACACCTTATCTAAAAAAAAAATGCCCAAGACAACAGAATGCATCTTAAAGGTCTAAACCGAAGCAATTCTATATAAGCAGTATAAGCATAACACCGCAATACGTTGTGATTTCTAACCATCTAAAGGATGTCCTGATATGATGAATAACTTATAGTCTTGTACACAGCAAAACAAACCTGATTGAAATTATGATGTGGAATTGGTGCAGAGAGATCTGATTGGGGTTCAACCATGTCCTGGTCATTGGCTATTTGTAGCAGAAGCCCTTCAAGATCCCCAAGTGGAAGTTCTGTGTCAGTACATTCTGCTGTTACAACAGCACCACTGCTGGCAGTAGGATCCGCAGCACAAACTTCATGTCCCCTGTCGGCATCAATCCAAACCTGACGATCATCACACTGGAACTGCACTTCTGGAACTGATGTTGATAAATCCGAGAACAACTCAGCGTTTTGCTGATCATCAGATATTTGCATCAGAAGCTGCTCAATATCCCCAAGAGGGAGATCAGTGCAGGTGTTCTGTGCTACTACCACAGCACCATTGCTAATGGAAGCATCCACAACCTCAGCCTTGTCACCCCCCTCAGTGAGCCAACCCTGACCTTGACCATGGGAAGAAGCAGGCTGTGCTTCACTAAACTCCTCCAGATCATTTCCAAAATTTGACAGGAGTTCATCAAGATCCTCAATCGGAAGCTCACGGTCAGTAAGTGCATGCTCCTCCACTGTAGATGGTGGATTGCTGGTGTTAGGAACAGAATTAGCGGCAGCATCCGCAGCCACTCCCTCATCGTCGTCATCCAACCAATCCTCCTCCCGAAAGGGAGCACCGTACTGTTCGCCGTTCTTGGGCCCGGCCCCGCTCTTCTGGAACAGCTTGTACAGCGCGTAGGACTCCCTCCCCTGCGCGGCCGGCGGGAGCGCGTCGGCGAGTAGGGTATACTCGTGCATGACCCAGTCCGTGCGCTCCCCGCGCGGGGCCCGGCCGTGGTGGTACACCAGCGTCTTCTTGTTGCCCACCGCCCGGCCGCCGCCGCAGATGAAGCGGTCCTTCCCCGTGGCCTTCCAGTAGCCGTCGCCAGTGGTGCGGCTGGCGCGCGAGCCGTTGGGGTACTTGCGGTCCATCCGGCTGAAGAAGAACCACTGCCTGTCCCCCGTCTGCAGCGCCGACCTCTCTGCAGTGCAGCACCAAAAACTCGCGGTCAAGAGGCCGCCGGAGGGATTGCAAGAAGCGATCGATTGGGGGGGCGGGGGGGACGCGTACCGGGGAGGTGGGAGGGGTGTGACTTGTACACTTCGACTTCGGCGATGTAGGGAGAGGGGCGGCCCGAGGCGATCCGGCGCTTGAGGAAGTAGAGAACAAGCTCCTCGTCGGTGGGGCTGAAGCGGAAGCCTGGCGGCCACCGGCGCGGCGGCGGGGTCTCCATCTCGCCGGATGGTTGGTGCTGGTGGCGTGTCGTCTGCCGGGTCAACCCAATGCTCCGGCTACTTAAGTTAAGAAACTCTCAATCTCTGCGGGGCCCGCGGTTCTATGCGGCTTCCTGGTAAGTTCGCGCTTCTTTTGACGGCCCCAAGGCCCGTTGGGCTGAATACACAGTGAGTAGGGACACTTGGCCCACGCACAGTGAGTACTGTACACAGCTAGGACCTAGACCCAGTAACTGAGCAACGAGCCCACGGTCACTTGGTCCCACTGTTCAGTGACAAAACACAGATTGAGGTTAAGTTAACAACACCAGTAGTGCACAAGAAAAGCCTTTTAATGTTTGCAAGGAAACTAACAGTAGGCATAGAGTCCACGCCGAGAAAAAAAGTGGAAAGAAAAGAAACATCAGTGCAGTAGGGCACTGTGATGTGTGATCAGACATTCCAGTCATCAGAGTCGGCCCGACTGGCTGAAACTTAGTTGAAACTGGCTGAAAAACACTGTTCTGACTGAATTATTGTGAGAGAAAAACATTGTTCCGGCTGAAAAAATAAGCCGAACAAGCCGGTTTCTGGGTAAGCCGAACAAGCCGTTACTAGTTCATGTACCCATAAACATGCTGATACTAGTTCATGTACAACAGATGGCCCATAGGCTAAAACAATCATGCACCCATAAACACATGAAACAAAGAGAGGAGGTGAATGGTGATACTAGTTCATGTACAACAGTGGCTGACCGCCTGACCCGTTGCCAGCAGCAGAGCAAGCCAACCTGCAGCAAACGGACACACAACACAAGTCTGTCGTCGCATGCTTAATTGATTGATTACACGACGGAAGAAAAGAAAAGATGCAATGGGTACCAAGCTGCTACCTCACGCTACTGCTACTAATGTTACAAACACAACAAATGAGGATGATTCAAAAAAAAAAAAAACACAACAAATGAGGACCATGACCATGCCATCTGCTACAGAAGCAATATTGTACAAAATGACGATACACCCAAAACAGAGCTGCCGCACTCAAATGGGGTCCCTCTACGCGCCAGGTGGAGCGATAGTCATTGCCGCATTGGGAAGATGAAGGAACAATTACCGTCAAACTAAGGTAGAGCCAGAAAAATAAGTGGGTCCGACTGCAGGAAAACAAGCATCGTTTCTCATGGCTGCAGTGTGTAAAAGAGTTAGCACCGATGCTATCTTCTATCGTGCGACGGTACGGGTGCTGCCTATTGGCTTTCATCTGACACCAACATATGCTCTCCTCTCACATAACACATGCTCTCCTCTCACAGAACACAAGAAATATTGTTTTTAAGTCCCTAGGCAGCGCTGCCTCTACTTGCTCCGCTCCAGAATCTTTGAAAGTTGGCATTGGTGGCTGCCGGGTAGAGAGTGATGCCTGGAAGGGAGAGAGAAGGTTTGGGCATCACTTTAGGAGGAGGGCCTAAGGGGCCTCCACCGTATGGAATCTGAACAGAAACAATGGCGGCTTTCAGTCGAATGTTTGACTTTCACAGCAATGTTACAAGAAGAGTACAAATGCCTCGTGTGTTTTTACATTTTCAGTAAAAAACAACAAACATGGATCCCCCAAACTCAAATTCTACTTGTGTGCTAGTTAACAGTGATGTAGTGCCATGGTGGTCTAAGGCAGAAGTTAGACCTTTTTTTATAAGGGCTGAAGTTAGACCTGAGTGCATGTGACCAGTGCAATAGTTGGCTGTCCTCATTGGGTATATAATTCTTTTGCAAGGCTCACAGCACCAGTTAGATCTGGTGCTGGAGAAAGCAATAAAGGGTGGATGTATGTATTTGCAAGCGAGATCGTTGAAACTTGGTGAAGCTTGGCCCTAATTGGTTCTCAGCATATCAGCACCATATGCTGCAAAATAAGCAGAATGGGACCAGAAAACAACTCTGGGTCAATATTTAATTGTACTTAGACTGTGATCGTAAAAAAAATGCCCTAGAGCACTAGAGTTCTTTAAATATGGTTTGAACAACATAATGGTAAGTATCTATACTTAAAATACCTTGGAATATCAAATTAAACAAGCTTGCAAATAGTTTGTACTTGGTACTGAAGGATCAGAAAAAAAAAAGATAATAAGTGTCATCAATTGATCACCAACAACGAAAAAGTGGAATGAAAACAAGTAGGCTACACCAAGCCATCTATACAAGGCATGGAAGAAGCCAAAGCTATCATCGATCACATAAAAGTAGCATACCGAAGGGTAGCTTCCCTAGCAGCATTGCAAACCTCTGGCTTCTCACAGTTCTCTTCTTCTGGATGACTTCAAGGGTGGCATCAATAATTGACCTGGAGTAAGGTTTCTTGGTGGTGCGCGCCTCTTCTTTATAGCTTCAGCATGAATGTCCTCTGCACACAAAATGAAACATTACAAAACAGTTGCCAAATGCAGGCATTAGCAACAAAATCACATTAGCATTGTACCAGTGATAGATGATCTGGTGGATAGAATAAATCAACATAAACTTCTGCAGTGCCACTCATTTTGTGAAAAAATAGCAACACTATCGGCTAAAACTAGTTACCAAACCAAACTATTTAGTTTTTCACAGTTCATTGGAAGTGCAGCTAGAGTTGTAAACTTGTAATACTATAACAAAAATTTGGTGATAATCCAGTGCAAACAGATAATAACAAAAACAAAATATCCTCAGCTGAGTAACTCCCATACCTTCTTGTGCTGCTTCATGTACATGGCTGTCCATGTGAGCTTCGCTGGCTTCAGGCAGGTGTGCAAGTAGCATTTGCACTTAGATTTCGGAAAAAGGAACACATGAAAAGTTCAGAGAAAAAATAGGATTAGACATTGTATTCAATTCCCATAATCTTTTCAAGAATTCACTATGTAAGCAAATCACCTGTGAATCTGCACGGGTAAATCTGACACCCTTCCCAGGATAGATCTTAGCACCACTGAAACAGCACAACTCTGTCCAGCAGTAGAGAATTTCTGGTGCATAAGGAAATATCAATATCCCCATCCATCAAAGATGAATAAAGAACAACACAAAAAAACAAAACTATATTTCAGGTACCACATCATGTTCACACCTGCTTTTGTTTCAAGAGAAAACAATGGTCACAGCATCTTCAGAAAATAGAATAAAGAGAGAAAGAAACTGTTTGTCGCCATCACTTGCCACTAAGAGCTAACTGAGAAAAGATTTATCCTATTACTGTGCAATGCCACTTCTTCCAACTAGTCTCTCAAAATTTTCATCCTGGAGTTCCTTCCTCACAACTGAAACATAGGCCCAGTGACCAGCATCGGCATAAATGTTAGACAAGGCTACTTTGGATGAGCCATGGGTTTGGTCGAGCTTTGCCAATTCTTCAGCAGCTTTCTCTCCTAATGTGACATTTCCTTGTGCCCTTGCTGCTGAAAGGATGCTGCCCCAAATTACAACATCTGCTTTCATGGGCATCATTGAAACAAACTGTTCAGCCTCTTCCAAGTACCCAGCTCGACCAAGGAGATCAACCATGCAACCATAGTGCTTAATTGTTGGCTGGATCCCATATTCCCTCGTCATGGACTCGAAATAATATTTTCCTTTGGCTACCATCCCAGTATGACAGCATGCACTTAAAACACCTATGAATGTGATTGAATTGGGCTTAATACTGGTCCTCTGTAATTGTGAAAATAGGTCAAGTGACATATGCGCATAACCATGGATGGCTAAACTACAAATCATAGAGTTCCATGGTGAAATGGAAGAGAATTTATCATTGGCGCAATTGAAAAACTGCACTGCATCAGCAACACTGCCACACTTGGCATACATATCTATCAATCCAGCACTCAGGTTATCAGTAAGCTGGATTGGTCTGTTCATTATATGGTCATGGATCCATTTACCTTGGTCCAATGTGCCAGAATCAGCAATTGCAGATAGAGCACTGGCCAACGTGACCTCATTTGGTTCAGCAGTCGTATTCAACATTGAATAGAATAGCTTCAAAGCCATGTCTGAACGTCCAATCTGCACAAACCCAGCAATCATTGTACTCCAAGAAACAGTGTCCCTTTTAGGCATATCATCAAACAGCTCCCTTGCTTCATGAATTAGGCCCTTCCTCAGTAGAGCAGCCAAAAGAGCGTTCCACGATGCTGTGTGTGACTTGTCTGACAATCTGAATGCCTTCTGGGCAAGGCCAATAAGACCACAACACCCATAGAAATGCACCAGGGTCGCTTGCACAAATGCATGGGCATCAAAACCATTCTTCAGAATAACTGTATGCAGCTGTTGGCCTTCTGTAACAGCAGAGTACCGAGCACACGCCTTCACCAAATCAACAAGCAATACCTCGTTGTCTTTTGCACCAACCTCACCCACCATTTGAACATATGCCTTCATTGCATCTGATATGAGATCTGCACAGATATATCCATCAATCAATGTCAACCAAGATACCTCATCTCGCTCTGGGATCCTCCAGAACACCTCCGCAGCCATGTCTATCATCTCTGCCTTGACATATCCATTGAGCATTACGTTCCAAGTGACTGTGTTCCTGTGCGTCATCCCATCAAACATGGCCCGCGCAGAACAAAGCTCTGACACCCCTGCATAGGCATGAACCAGGTTGGTGGCTACAATGACGAACCCATCCAGCGCCCGCTGCAGAGCAAAACCATGGATCATCCCCACTGTCGCCGGTGCCCCATGGCGAGCGAACGCCGTGATCGCACCAGCGAGAGTCACCTCGTTGGGAACAACATTCTCGGAGAGCATGCCGCGGAACACGGCCACGGAGCGCCCCGCGTGCCCCGCGCGAGCGAGCGCGGTCACGAGGGTGGTGTACGAGACGGCGTCCCTGTGGATACGTGGCATCTCCTCGAGCAGGCGCTGCGCGCGGTCGAGATGGCCCGCACGAGTCAGCGCGGCGAGGACGCTGTTGCGCGCGGTGGCGTCGCGGAGCGGCGTGGGTGTTTCGTCGAACAGCTGGAGCGCGCTGGCAAGGGAGGATGGGAGGCGGTAGTAGAAGGAGAGGACAGAGTTGCGAACGAAGGCGTTGGAGGCGAGGAGGCCCGACTTGGCAGCGAGCGCGTGCAGCTGCTCGCCGCAGCGGAGGCGCGCCGCACGCTTGAGGGACGCGACGAGGAATGGGGCCAGAGGATCGCGGCCACCCAGCATGGGCGAAGGCTGGCTTTTCTCTGCTTTGTGCCTTTCTCTCCTTTGAGGCTTCCGAGTGACTAGAGACCGCTCCCTTCCCGCGCCGCGGGGCAGAGGCTTCCCTACCCGAGGCACGCGCGGCGAGCGAATCTACCCCGCGGGGCAGGGTCCGGCGAGCGGATCTCGCGCTCCTACCTCTTCCCCGCGCCTATATTTCAATTGACAGAGAATGACGAGCGGGCCCCTTGTGTCAGGGTCTATGACAAAGGATTTAAAGGCTCTAATCTGAGAGCTTGTAGAAAATATAAAAAAGATTTATTACACAACACTCGAGGGTTTTACGCTTTGCCGACACTTTTTTTTTCTTTGCATCTTTCTTTCTCCTCCCGACGTGCCGTCGCCCGCCGCCCACTGCCCCACCACGGCACGGTAGGGTCTCCGTAATTGTGGAGCTCTGGCGAGACCTTATCGCCATCGCAGCGACTCCTCCGTCCCTTGCCCCCCGCAACCGTCATGGCTATGGTCGCCCGTGTCCTAACCTATCCTGGCCGCCTACTCCGCCGCCCGTTCCGGTGGCCACCTCCGCCTCGCCGCCGTCTCTCCTGCCCCCACCGCCTAGCCTACCTGCCTTCCTAAAAATCTTTTTCTAAGTGCGCCAGAGATGGAGAAGAGAGGAAGAGGCGTAGATGGAGAAGAAGAGGAAAGAGTGTTCCAACACTCGGTGTTAAATAGTATTTCTCTAAAAGTCAATCCCCTATTTAAGTAGGCTCCTGCTAGAATTGCTCTGCGAAAAGGAGTGTGGCGCCACGGTGCCTCGGTACAAGCGCACCAAAGATGGAGCGCAGCGCGGCCTGGCGCACCAATGTGGCTCTTGCTTATGCTTCCACGTTGAAACTTGAAACGGCGTGGAGGAGGAGGGATCTTGGGAGGAATTCTGGCTAGAAGTGTGCCGAACTTCCCGTTGGGGTAGTTTGTTCGCTTTTTTTCACAAGAATCCCCTTACAAGCGACTTTAAACAGGGCCCTATGGCAAATATGACCCATCGCACGATAACTGCATAAAAAAAACAGGTGAAAGAAAAGAAACATCAGTGCAGTGCAGTGTAGTAGGGCACTGTTATCAGACATTCCAGTCATAAGAGCCAGAGTTGCGAAAACAGGAAATGATTGATTTTCACGAGACGATGTTCGAGCAGAGCTTAACACAAGCAAGTGTTGATTGCACAGATGGGCCCATAGGCTAAAACAATTATGCACCCATAACACATGAAACAAAGAGGAGAGTTCATGTAACAATGGCTGGCCCGTGGTCAGCGGCAGGGCAAGCCAACCTGTAGCCACGAACACTACGCACAAGGCTTCCGTCGTCGCATGCTTGATTGATTGATTACACGAAGGAAGAAAAGATAAGATAAGATGCAATGGGTGCCAAGCCGCTGCCTCACACTACTGCAACTAATGTTACAGATAAAAATGATTTACACAGGCAATATTGTACAAAATGACGATCCACACAAAACAGAGCCGCCGCACTCAAGGCGATCACGGAATAGGGTCCCTCTGCGCACCAGGTGGAGCGATAGGCATTGGGAAGTCGAAGGAAAAATAACCGCCGAACTGAGGGGCCTCCACGTATGGACTCTGCACAGGAAAAAGGGCAGCTTAGTATCATGCTTGACAAACAGAATTTCATGTCCAGAAAGGGATCTACTATCATTACACATTTTCACATTTATTGTAAGAAACAACAAAAAAATGGACCCACCAAATCCAATTTCTACTTGCGTGTTAGTTAAGAGTGTTGTACATTGAATCATGGATGTTATGCTGGTGGTCTAAGGCTGAAGTTAGACTTGAATGCATGTGATGTGACCATTGCAATAGTTGGTTGTCCTCATTGTGGGGCATACAAAATCCTTTTCAAGGTTTACAACATCAGTCATTAGACCTGATGCTGGTGATAGCAAAAGGGTGGATGTATGTATTTGCAAGCAGAGATTGGTGAAATTCGATAAAGCTGGACCCCAATTGGTCACCATGTGATGTGGTGGCTACCATGTTTTATATATTGGTCCTATATGTTGAAATTTAGCTAATTAGAAGTGATCTATCAAGAGGCAAGTGGAGTTGAAGCCTTGAAGGTGAACATGGAAGAATACAACTGCCAGGACAAGGAGGAAGTAGTTAAGACTTAAGAGGTCATATTGATGCGTTCTTTTTATGTGTATGGTGGTCTCGGTAATGCTATATCATATTCATTTACAGCATTCTGTAACACCTAACAAATTCTATCTCCACAAATACTTCTTATAAACAAAACAAAAAAAGAATGTTCACTTTGTGATACTACTTCAGCTCCCCTTATCATCATTATACTATATCCCCCGGAAATTATAGCAATTAGCATTGACCGTCACAATATAGTATGGCACTGGCCAACTAACAGTTGGGATGACATTTGAGCTGGTGTAGCACTGTAGTTCAATGACGCTCTATATGGGCATTGTGAAGTGGACCTTTCTGGATTTTTTTTAACAATTGCATTGGATAATTATTACTTAATAGAAAATAAAAAATAGCATCTTCAGGTGTACTCCACATTACTAAGGAATTAGGGAGTACATAAGACTTGTAGCTCCCACAGACATCAGTGACGAAAACAACTTTCAGTTCTTAGGACATACTAAATCCGTTCCAAATTATAGTTCGTTTGACTTTTTTTACCTCAAGTTTGACCACTTGTCTTATTCAAAAATTTGTGCTAAATATCACTTCTTTTATTGTGGCTTGCTTTATTAACAAAAGTTCTTCAAGAATGACTTAAATTTGACTAATGTTTGCACAAATTTTTTGAATAAGACGAACGGTCAAACTTAGGGTCAAAAAAGTCAAACAAATTATAATTTGGAACAGAGGGAGTAGCAAATAAGCACCTGGGAATAAGGTGGATTTGCATCGAACATTTGATCCCTGGGAGATCTTGGAGATGACTCCGGTGAACTACCATCATTCTCATCCAAGTTATTTATTGTATTATTCATTGCTGCTGGATCTCCCTCGGTAGTGCTAAGCTTAACTTGCTGCAAGATAAAAGCCCAAATTAGATCACGGAATACACTGGATAACTTACAAAATGCATAGAAAAATATATGAAGTGTACCTGGAATATTTTGCCTAAAGTTTTCAATCCTTTAGCTCGAGCTTGCAGTTCCTCTTTCCTGGCACTGCTGTCTTGAAGCACCTGATATTGATAAAAAAAAACAATTAAAACCACAGACACCACTAACAACGGCGAAATACCAGATGTAAGATATCTTTAAAAAAAACTTTTTTATAACATCTTTAAAAAAACCTTGAAAATATTGACAATATATGAATACAGACCATTTGACACACATGTGACAGGGTTGCCTCTATATCAGCAACATTAAGCTTCCATAACGAATCCACCATAACACTCTTATGTGCCAGCATGTAAGCCTCCAGTTGCTCTTCGCTGTAGTGGCACTCAGCACTGAGATGCTTTCTCAAGTCTTCCTGCAGCTGCATAAGAGCTATTGCACCTGCAGATACATAAGAAAACTAAATCTCATGAGCAAATTACAGATCTATGCTAACATCAATGAAATTTAATGAACAAAATAACTTTACCTGTTGCAGCTGTTAGTTGGGATTTAATAAAATGTCCTTTGTTTCGGAACCATTCAGCAATAAACGGAACACCAAGATATTTAGCTTTCTTTCCAAGCTCCTTAGCAGCTTGTCTTGAATACACATAACCAATAGTACTCAGCATATCAACACCATATGCTGCAAAATAAGCAAAATGGAAACAGAAAAGAACTCTGAGTCAATATTTCATTGTACTCAGAATGTGATCATAAAAACAAAAGGAAGTGCTACTGAATGTTGTTTTATTGCCGGAATCTTATAAGGATACACAGGGATAGAAGGGCGAACAAAAGATTTAGAGCTACCAAGCAGGCTAAAAGCAGAAAATACATACAGAACCCCCAAGTTGTTGCATGGACATACAGCTTAGCAAGTGATTAAAGGGCTATCATTAATATTTTGGGGAGGTGAAGGAATGGTTGTCATGAACACATACCGGCATTAGAGAGTCTAGTAACCTCAGCTTCAGCATACTGGATAAATTCCTCTCTGTTTCCTTGAAGATAAAGGTGCAACCTATCTTTCAGTAATTCTGCAAGTTTCTCCTCCCTTTCTTTTTGTACAACCTACATCATAATTAAATCCTTAAATCAATACTACACCAGAAAGTACAAATAGCATGAAACACCGAGCAACAAATTGAACATTTCAACCACCAGAAAGGTTTTGTTGTTTGAATATTTAAAGCACTAGTAAAGAACAGAATTTTGGGTAGTATTTCTATTTCCATACAGCTATAATAAAACCACATCAAGTGCGATTAATCTAAGTCAACAATGATGGTTGATAAATCCATCATTCCCATCTGGTATAACAGAGGCTAAATGGGATCGCCACTATAAGTTGAAAGTGCTGCAGAGGTCGACAAGCATGAAGATTGATATTCTGCATGAGAAATGCCATGCAGAAACAACTAGTGTATTATAAGCTGGACTTTCTCAACTTTATCATCCCTATAAGCTTGTTAAGGTCTGCAGCTCATGGAAGTTCTCAAAATGTTGAAAAGGTCAATCTTGTAGTGTTAAACGCAGGTAAAGCATTAACTGCAAGAGGTAAGTTCACATTCTGACATTAGAATTATTTAGAGTACTGTGCAGAGTAAGTGACTACAAAGGCTGCCACGGATTGAAGACTTCTCGTTCAAATAACAGGATTTAACAAAGAAATAGGAGAAATAGTGTCAAAATTAGTGTGTGTGTAGATCACATTTGTGTAACCTGGGACATAAAATATCAGAAAAGGTAAGTTTCATGAAGCAAAATATGGGGAAAAAAACAAATATGATCTCTGATTTCTCTTAAACTTCTGGCTTCTAGTGTCAGGAGTCAGGATATTTGTTTTGCCAAACAATAGCTTCAGTTTCACTGCGAAATTCTTAAAGTAATAGATAAATCAAGTAACAACAAACCGCTATGAATTGCTTGGGTAGTATATAATGAGAAGCAAGTTATGAATTCCCAATCAAGAATGAATATGACAAATATAATAGAATGCCCAAAAGGTCAACAAATCATCCTGGTAAAGAGCCATACTCGCATTTGCTCCTGCAACCTTCTTGCATCGATCACTTTGTCTTCAGTAAAACCATCAAGTGAAGCCATGGATGCCATCGCCAGCTGACCAATGTACTCCTCAAAAAGCTCGCTACCGAACAGCATTGCAAAAATTGCTGCAGGCTCAATTATCGCTTCCCTATAGGATAATGTTAGACAGCAAGTTAGAATGTAATCATCGGACAAGATTTGACAGCATATGAGATTAAATACCAGCTCCAGAAGTCAACTAACAAGAAAAATAAATTCTACTACAGCACTAAAGTTTTTTTTAATATATGGTTTCAACAACATAATGGGATGTATCTGTACTTAAACATACTTTGAAATACCAGATTTCCCATATGAGTCATAGGCTTCACGCTGTGCGGGGTCACTGAGCACTTGGTATGCCTCCCCCAATTCCTGCAGTAGCAGTAACTCAGATGAAGATGTGAATTTTCTTTTTAAAGAGTCCAGTTTGCATTGACATCAAATATATTATATCTCAAATGCGACAAGATGCACAGGGAAGGAAGCCACGCTAAATGTGACAAGTGGCAGGACCGCTAGTTCAATGTAGTACTGTTTTGTACCGTGAACAATGAATTCTGTTGAGTTTATGGTACAAGGACACACGGTGCATTTATCCAGGGGTTGTTTGGATGTCCATGTATTCAACTCAATCCAACACACATGGATTGAGGTGGATACATGAACATCCAAACAAGACCTAAAAGTTCAGCAGATCCTGAAATGTGCCCCTAAAAATGCGAAACATGCTAGTAGAGTAGCTGATGAGTATAGTTCTAGTACCCAACTGGAGCTCAGTCGCAGCAGCATCATAGTAGTTGTTAGAGAACATTAGGATCATGCTTGCTGCGGTTGAGAGCTGAACGAGTCAAGTGGAGCATTAGAATACTTGCCTGGAACCTCGCCGCCGCGTCCGGATCATTGAGGTTCTTGTCCGGATGGACCTGCCTCGCCTGCAACACGAGCAGCAACCACCGAAATGAGAAGCGAAACCATCTCTGACCGCACGGCAAAGGGAGAGAGTGCGCGCAGGCAGCACCTTGACGTAGTACGCCTTCTTGATCTCGGCCTCGGTGGCCGTCGGGCTCACTTCCAACACGTCGTAGTATCCCGTCTCCCTTACCATCGAACCACTCTACTCCTCTCCTCCCCGCGCGCTCTCTCTGCTCCCGCAGGTCCCGCCGCGTGCGCTCGATCGGAGCCCCCGGACCGGGATCTCCGGCCGCCGCTCGCCCCCCTCCACCGATTCCCTCCGCGCGGGTGGTGCGGGACAGCGAGAGGGAGGTGGCGAGGTGTCTGGCGCTCGCTGCAATGCTCTGGCCTGGGGGTGGCGGCTGCTTGCTGTTGCTGGGGTGATCCGACCATAAAGCGCCTCGAATAATTCGCGTGCTTTTTTTTCCCCCGCTCTCCTCTCCTCCGCCGTATTATAATGCGGGGATGAGTCACATTGACACGGAACTCTTCTCTCTTCTCTCTTCTCTCGCTAGTCAAAATCGGGTTCCCCTCTCGGTAAAACTAAAAACCCCACTCGCTAATCCCGCGGTTTCGCGAGTGATTATCGCGCTGGTGAGGTGAGGTGGACCACATGGCCGGCGCTGACCCCTGTCCACGTAGTCAAGCGGGTGAAGAGGAAGAAGGCCGGGTAGCGGATAGAGCGGGTTTGAGGTCTGGGGGCCCACCATGTGGTGACCACTTGGGCCGGACAAGGCCCGCGCGTATATTTAAAGTTCTTGCTGAATTTTTGCTTTCAACTCCTAGGGATGCGCCTGAACTAGAACTAGTTTCCTGGTTTTGTAAGAAAGCAAACTTGATGCAAAAAACGCCCATAGAGTTGCCATAAACTCTATGCTGATTTCGCAGGAACCAGTACCAAAGACACATGAAAAAACCCGGCGAAACGCATGAGAGGCTGTTGTTCCCGGCACGCGTCAGGAGGTCGATCGCTCCGTTTGGCTTTGCAATTGCTGCAGCACACGCAGACGCACGCATGGAATTGGAAACGGACCTGAGTGGATGACTGGATTCTTCAAAAAGAAGAGAGAAAAAGGGGGCCCGGATCGGAATGGGGCGGTGGAGGCGCCCTGAAGTCGCAGGTACTAGTACGTGCGTGTAAAGCCACTAGTCCGACGCCCCTACAGCTGCAAAAGGCGCCCGCCGGGCCGCCCTTACCCTTCGTAGCAGGACAGCCACCACATCCGACGACGACGACGACGACGAGCGGCGCCAAACGCGCATGGGCAACGTGGGCAGCGTGTTTGAGGCCACTGCTAGCACACCTACCTTCTGTAGAGACTAGGAACAGGGACGAACATTGTGGAGGGCTGCCGAAATGGGCGGACGACGGATGGTATGGTCGACGACGACGACACTTCATCGTTAAGGCACAGCCATTCCACGTCGTGTTTTGTGCAACCCTTTTATTTATTATTTTTCTCGTTATAACCGTCTGTCTATGATCTTGATTCCGTGTACTGAATCACCCATCGATAGGTTCGGAGATTCCGGGTCTGTTTGCAACGTGAAAAAAAATGATGTTTTAAAAAAAAAATAGAACAACTTTTTGAAAAAAAAAGTTGTATGACTTTTGCCAAAATCTTGCGTTTTCAAATAGACCCGTTGGCAAATGGCAAGAAGATTTCTGTCACCTGTGATTTCCACATGGTTGTGGCCTGGATGTGCCTGCTCTGCTCTTACGTCACTGCCCAGGTCCTCGCAGGCAAACACGGGGCAACTGCCAACTGGGCAAGCTAGCCAGCTGGTTACGATCACGGTCACGGCATCACCCACCTAATCTGATTTGATTATTCGAGTGACCGACGATCTGTCTTTGAGCTGTGAGCCTGTCGCTTTCATAAACTGACACGGGAATTTCTAAAGTCTCGTGCTCGTGGAGGTGTAATATATCTTTTCTTCTAAATGCGAGAATCAAATTATTCAGTGTTATTTATTTGCGCTAGGACGTTGACAGGAGTATATATCATCCTGCATTCCTGCTGTCTTCGGCCACATGGTAAATTTGAAGACGGGTCGAGTTCAAATAGGCCCAATCGCGTGCCCTTAAATCCGATTTGAGCTGCTTTTTTTCTTCATCCGGAACATTATTTTTCTCTCATAAATTCCTCCAAATTTATCCGGATTCCTCCAGATTCCTCCAAAATTCCTCCAAGCAAATGGGACCGTAGTCAGAAAGAAATTCGGAAGTTGGAACAGACATAGATAATAAAATATATAAATGTAAAACTTCAACTAAGTGAACGATAGATATACTCTTATACAAAATCACTGTGGAAGTTAATTTCATGTCAAGTATATGCGGAAAATCAGGAACTCCCCTGGAAAGGGAAAAAACATTTTAGCTACTAGTAGTAAAACGGAAAAAACAGTGGCACATGCTCTAGAGCGTTCGCGGAAAATCCATCCTGAGTTGCTGCCTGCCCGGGCGCCTCTTCCCCTAGACTTTATCTTCCCCCTTGACGGCCTCCCGCCACCGACACCCACCACTCTTCCCGTCCGTCGGTACATGTGTAGTTGCCACTTCGCTTTCCCCTTCCCTTACCTCACACTCCTCTCCCTCGATTAATCTCCTCCCCTTCAACAACCGCAGCGAGATCTCCAGCTACCGCTCTCTCCGTCCACATTTGCACCCGCATTCCTCAGATCCAGATTTGAGCCCCAGCAGCCCCGGTTCGAGATCCAGCTAAGCTCTCCCTAGCAAGCTTCCGGCGGGGCGAGCAGCGGGGGAGGGGCTCGGCGAGCGAGAAGATGAAGCGGAAGACGCGGAACAAGATCATCGTGTGGACGCTGGCCCTGGCCGCGGCGGCGATTCTGGTGGGCGGCACGATCGCGCTGGTGCTCACGGCGGGGACGTGGAAGGCCCAGATAAAGAAGTCGCAGGAGAAGATCTGCAACAAGGGGTGGGAGTGCTCCGGGAGCAAGTACTGCTGCAACGACACCATCACCGACTTCTTCAAGGTGTACCAGTTCGAGAACCTCTTCGCCAAGCGCAACACCCCCGTCGCGCACGCCGTCGGGTTCTGGGATTACCAGGCCTTCATCATCGCCGCGGCCCTCTTTGAGCCCCAGGGGTTCTGCACCACCGGCGGCAAGCAGATGCAGATGATGGAGCTCTGCGCGTTTCTCGGGCACGTCGGCGCCAAGACCTCATGTAAGATCCTTGCTTCCGATGCCTGTTCGTCTGCTTCGATTCTGTTGGGCTGGAGGAGGAACCGATTGATTAACTTGCGGCTACGGAATTGCAGGTGGGTATGGCGTGGCCACCGGCGGGCCGACGGCGTGGGGGCTATGCTACAACCACGAGATGAGCCCCGACCAGACCTACTGTGACAAGACCTACACCCAGTGGCCCTGCGTTGAGGGCGCCGAGTACTACGGCCGCGGCGCAATACCTGTCTACTGGTAATGCTGGCCCCTGCCAATGCTAGAACTCGCATTGACCCTTCCAGCTCACCATTTCAACTGTTGAAGTGTGTATAATTGCGTTGCCCACCTCTTCCTGATAGCAAGCTTTTGGGTTGGAACTGGTCGGTGCATGCAACTTAATATGGTATCAGAGTCAGATGTCTCGAGGTCGAATCCTAAATAGAGGCAACTTAAGTCCTCCGCCCCTTTATTTCCACGTTTGCGCCTCTCTCGGGCTGCACGTGAGTGGGGGTGTTGAAGCGTGTATAAGTGCATTGTCCACCTCCTGATAGCTTAAGCTTTTGGGTTGAACTGGTTGGTGCGTGCAACTTAACATCAACTTCTCTTTTTTCAATGGCTGAATCAGTTTGAAGTTGGAGAGCAGTAGAAATTAGCGATCAAGCTCTGAAATTCCAGTCGTATTGATGTGGTTGGTTACTTCTTTCAGGAACTATAACTATGGCGCTGCAGGCGACGGGATCAAGGTGGACCTGCTCCACCACCCAGAGTACCTCGAGCAGAACGCGACGCTGGCATTCATGGCGGCAATGTGGCGGTGGATGACGCCAATCAAGAAGAACCAGCCGTCAGCGCACGAAGCGTTTGTGGGCACCTGGAAGCCCACAAAGAACGATACGCTCAGCAAACGCCTGCCTGGGTTCGGTGCCACCATGAACATACTCTATGGCGAATCGATCTGTGGCAAGGGATTCGTTGACGCCATGAACACTATAATCTCTCACTACCAGTATTACCTTGACCTCATGGGTGTTGGCCGTGAACACTCTGGCGACAACCGTGATTGTGCTGAGCAGCTCCCGTTCAACCCCTCAAGCCCAACGGATGACCAGAAGCAGCAGCAATCAGGAAGCTAAAACAGACCCATTGTGCCATGTTCACGTGTTGTACACCTGTTCTTGCTGCTGCCATTGATCAAGCTTCCTGTGCTAAATTGAGCTACTGATTCTTCAGAATGTGTGAAGCTGCATGGGGTTGATGTTGTTTTGAACGGCTGATCACAAGACTGTATGTACTGTCTATGGGAATTGCGAGGTTTGTGGTCATTATACCATGTTGTCCATAGATAGTTTGTTTTGGTTTCTTTGGTTCTGTCAGATACGTTATACACATGTTTAAAGAGGACTGAACATACCAGGACCCTTTTTTCCCCTGAACTTCTGTATGTCGCCTAGCTTTTTTTCTGAACCTTTTGTATGTCTTGTATTATTAGGTTATCCAGTGCTAGTACATTTTTAGCATTTGGACTAGAGCATGCTTATGGCATTAATTCGTACAACTATTCTGACTAGGGACAACTCAACCGAGGTACAGAAATGAATGATGGAAACTTGCTTGTACCGTGAAAATAGAGAGTATTGCACACTTCTTGCTTGTTGGAGTGAGTTGTAGATAGAGAATGTGGACTCGCGAAGTGACATGGCTGAATGTACAAGCATGCGGAAAGTATATGGTTTTGAATCCTCAGCGAAACTGTTGCTCTGTTAGAAAATGAAGAGTGCTTAACATGTTTAACTAAACGCCTCTATGGAGCCTTTGAAAGCTAAGAAACAACGTCTGTTTTCAGAATGGGTGCTGGCAAGGTTTGCCGCAGGCATGGGATCCATGATTGGTATGCCGAAAAGTTGGGAACTGCTCCCTCCATTCTACTAAATTAAAAGACGTTTTAGTTTTTCTAGTTACGTAACT